TTAGCTGTGCACATGTCGCGATTGCCGGTCCCAGTCCGGTACGGGCGTGACACTGAGGGTTGCGATCCGTTGCCAGACATGAAAAAAGACAAAAAGGAAAAAAAAAAAAGAGAGAGAGACCTGGCTGGGTATTCAAGATCATTCAGGCCAGGGTCACTTCACTTCATGAGCCATCTTTCTCAAAAAACCCCAAGTTGCACTCGAGTGGGAGATCCTGTGGCTTTGCTCCCACATGAGATTGTACTTGCTCGCGGTTTAAATGAAATAGCCCTTTCAGTTACATGAAGCACTGAATGTCTTGTAGCACTATTTTTGAACCTCCTATATAAACCAGTTGGAGAATTAGAACATCCTATATAAACCAGTTGGAGGATTAGTACATCCTTTATAAATCAGGTGGAGGATTAGAACATCCTTTATGAAAAGGTGGAGAATTTAGACATCCTATATAAACTACTTGGATTAGAACACCCTTTATAAACCAGTTGGAGAATTAGAACATCCTATATAAACCAGTTGGAGGATTAGAACATCCTTTATAAACCAGTTGGAGAATTAGAACACCCTACATCAACCAATTGGAGAATTAGAACACCCTAGATCAACCAGTTGGAGAATTAGAACACCCTAGATCAACCAGTTGGAGAATTAGAACACCCTAGATCAACCAGTTGGAGAATTAGAACACCCTAGATCAACCAGTTGGAGAATTAGAACAACCTCTATCCACCCGTTGGAGGATTAGCACACCCTTCGTCCACCTGTTGGAGGATTAGAACACCCTTCATCAACCAGTTGGGGAATTACTTTGATTCTCCCTGTTTGCTGTAGAAAATTTTCCCCTCGTCTATGAGGAAGCCCCTGTTTACTGTGCAGGCATTGTTTTGATATTTATGAATTTCGGAGAATAAATGACTTCATCTTGAGCTGCCTAAGTCTGCAAAGACATTGTTAGTCAGAAAAGTGATTAAAATTCAGTGTTAGTATGGGCTGCAATTTATAAACCTACACTAATGTTTCCAAAATGCAGCCTCCAGTTGGTGTTACTGGGATTTGTATTTTGTTCCCAGCCCTCTGAGGGCAACTTGGTTGTCTCTCTGCAGCCTACACAGACGACCTGGGTGCTGTGGGCGGTGCTTGTCTGGAGGACGAGACCAGCGCCCTGCGCTTGGATGAAGACAGCGAGCATCCTCCCATGATTCTTCGGACTGACTGAACTTGACCTGTGAACTCTGACCCTGGAAGCAGAGAATACTGGATTGACAGAGGACTTTGTGCATTGCTGCTATGAACTTTGACCTGAATTGGGAGAGAGGATGGCAGAGACTTTAATAAAAGATTGTAGTGGTAGTCTAACTTCCTCCTGTTGAGAAAATACATTGTTTTCACTTCAGTGGCTTTTCATCCTGCTTATGAATTTTAGCTTTTTGTTCGTTTTCTCTTTTTGCCAAAATTAACTGTTTGGTGAAGCCCTCGAATCCTCCTTGCTTTGCATGCATGAATGTGCCAAGCCAGTGTAGGAGAGCTAGAAACCACTTTCTAACAAACTACAGTTGTGTGGTTTTTAATGTCTGTACATAATGATAAGCGTGCGTAAGGAAACGTGGCATCGTGCAGAGTGTTCTGGTTGTCAAAGCTGGTTCTCCGGTGACAGGTCCAAGGGCTGCCCCAGGGCTCACCGGTGGGCTGGGCAAATGACAGCCTCCAACAGGAGTCCTTTTCCCCAGAGCCCCACCTGCACCATTTCCCCTCGTTTTATGTTATTAATTAAATTCTCTCCAAATTGGATTATTCTGGGATTTCTTTCTTGGTGGTCTTTTATTTCTGATCTTGTTTTCCATGTGGATATTGGAAGAGAGATAGTTTCTTTCTGATATTAAAAACCTTTTTGCTGACAGCAAGTGAACTTGAAAGATTGCTTGGTCTACCTGGAGCAAAGGAAAGTGATTTTGTTTGTATGATTAAATTATCTGTTCTTCTACTTTACTCTTCTTGTTGAATAACTGTGTGGTTTTTTTTTTTTTTAAAGGAAAATTTGTAGTTACTCCTATGCCCAAGAAAGCATAGAGGTAATTTGTGATGGAGATTTGAGTTGTCCTGTTACCCTGAGCTCCACTGTCTGTCAGGGGCTCTTTTTACCTGTGGCGGAAATAGTAGCAATAGAAACACGAGAGAGGAGTTGGCTGTGGACGCCTACTTTACCAGGGTGATATGTGCCTTTTCTATTTTAATCCTATACAATTTGTTCAGCAAAGCGATGAGAGATTATGGTTGCGGGTTTCAGTATTTGCCTAGCTTCCTTTTTTGTTTTTACAGAATTGAAACAACCTCAAATACCTCAAACTCTGCATTCCAACCCAAGACACAGCAGTTAAAGTTTTGAGGGCATTTAAGTGGAGTTAATGGCATGAAAGATCATTTTAGATTGTCTGGAGTGGTGAAAATTTAAGGACAGAAATAAAAAAGCAAAAATGTTGCATTTGCCCGGCCTTTTCAGTTTTTCATATTTTTAAATAGCAGGAGGATCAGAGACGTTTGTTTTCGGTCATTGTGTCTTGATCATACTCGTTGAATAGCTTCTGGCGGGGAGTTGTCAGTTTAACTGAGCAGCCAAAGTTGAATGCTCCTGATGCTTCTGGAGCTTTTGACCAAGTGAGGCTTTAAGGCGAAATCCTGATGCCTAGAGTCAGTTCTGACTGGGGCAGAAATCTCTAGAAGAGCCTGGTCATGGCAGCAACAGGAAGTTTTATCAGGCTGATGTGAATGGTGGGAGTGTTTTTTAAAATCTTATGTGTGTCTATCCTGGGTCCTTGTCAGAATGGGACCCCCGTCATGTAGTCTGATACAGTGAGCATGTGCCGAGGCCGGGCCCAGGCTGTTTCTTTACCAGAAGGACGAGAGGCACCAGAGCAGGACACGGTCGTCACCTGCACCGGGTTCTTCTGTAGGGCCTGGAGAGTTCTCTCGCTGTCTCTCTAGAACACAGTGTTGGACCCCACCTCTTAGGAGGCACGTTTGGCCCAAGCGAGTGTTCATGGGGAAAAATTGTCCCAAGTGTACAGGATAGGTTTGGAACCTTGAGCTAGGGTTTCCTGGTAACCAAAGAGAGAACTGCATTTCAAGTTCTGAGTTAGAATATTACTAATTTTAGTGCCTGCTTGTTGACTTTTATTACCTTTGTGGCAATTTGGGGGCTCGAGTCTTCTTTGCCCGGTTCTTTCATCTTTCCTTGGGATTGGTAGTGTTAGGAGATGTTGGGAACTCACTTCCCTCTTTCAGCCACAGTTTCCTCCACTTTAAGATGAAGCAGTTAGGAAAGGTAGCTTCTGGTGTCCTGTGGCTCCCTGCCATCCCCCGTGGGTTGCCCTGGCAGACCACGCAAAGCCCTTTACTTGCCAGTGTCAGATCTAACCTGTGCACCCCAGAGAGAGGGGACTAAGGATTCTTGATTGAGAAAAACGGAAAGAGTTTGTGTGTTTGCTGACTAACTGCGTGAGGATTATTCACCCTCCGCTTTTCCTTTACCTGTTTTATTGCCACGAGCACCTGTTCCTCTGTGCTTGAACCCCAAGCATCACCAGCAGGCCTCAGGCATGTGCAAGGGACAAGGGGAAAGAGGAGAGAAGCAGAAGCTGCCAGGCGGTCATTAGTAGAACTCTCACTACCATGCCAGAAACCTAGAGGAGTGGGGAGTCTAAACCAGATGACACGTGTGCTAATTCTAACCTCCACACCAAGATTAACTTTTTTATGATATCATATTTTTCCAAACGTCCAAAAAGATTATGGGGTGGGAGTAAGGAAACAAAACGCAGACACTTATTTAATGGATTCGTGTGGATTGGGACCAAACCTTTTGTATTTTCTTAAGCGACGGAACCAAGAGTTGGATTGAGTTTGGAGTCAAAAAGAACTGAGTTCAGTCCCTGATTGCACCTAACTAGCAGTGTGAGCATGGCAGGTCACCTGGGAGCCTCGGTCTTCTGAACTGTACAGTAGGAATAATCCCTACCTCACAGGGTTGTTGTGAGGTGCAATGTGACCATCTGTCCTGCAAGCGCCCAGCTCGGTACCTGGCCAGCAGTGGGCATCAAATAAACGCTAAAACAGAAACTGATCTTTTGGAATTAAATGCGTGATTTTTATTTAGTTCTGGTTCCTGAATACATAAGTGGGTGGGAAAGAGGTGAAAATAAGTCTGATACACATAATTCATGTTTGAAGTTATACGTAGATCTCTTTTATCCCTGCCTTTCCTATTCCTTAACACCGAGAACAATGAGTTGGCCTTGGAGGTGAAGAGGTGAAAATAAGTCTGATACACATAATTCATGTTTGAAGTTATACGTAGATCTCTTTTCTCCCTGCCTTTCCTATTCCTTAACACCGAGAACAATGAGTTGGCCTTGGAGGTGGTGTGCATGGGAGACGTGCCACATCTTACAAACCAAGCACCATCTGCTGTGACCATGCCAAGCTGTTCACCACTGGGCCTGAGGCGGCAAGGACTCCAGGGCCTCCACCCTCATCCCAGAGCACAGCTCCTTTCTGGCCAGGATGGGATGCGACACCACCTTCTCTGCTGCCTCCTGGAGCAGCCTGGCCCTGACCCTCTGTCAGGGAACCCAGTGGCTTCATGGCTGCCATCCCTGCCAAGAAGTAAACTTGGTGACTCTTCCTACTCCATTTCATTTGTAGAGAGAAAAGGAAGAATCTTGTCTTCCCACAGCCAGCAGTGGGCCACGCACAGAGGCAAGATTGGAAATGCTTTGGTCACAGCTTAGCAAAGAAAAATGGGACAGTGGGTGATGGCAAGCATGTTCCTTGCTAACCCCCATTGCTGTTCTTGGTGACAGCGTTGACATAAAGATGGGTGTGAGTTTGTCTTTTGTCCCCAGCCCTAAATCTTTGTAGAGCCTACCTTCTGCATGCAGGGAATGACCAAACCCTTGTTTCAAATGTATATGTGACACTGTAGCTAGCAGAGCTGGAAATGCAAATATATTATTTTACAAGTGTACTTAATGATTATTAAACTCAAGATGGACAGGTAGGTGGAACACTTGGTTTTAGTTCTGTGGTGTCAGAGATGTAAAAATAAAGTGCACTAAAGCCATTGGTGTTCTGTTTGGGAAGAGTGCTTTGTATAGAATTCTTTTTTGTGTGACAAACTTATTTCTTATTGAAAGTATATATAGCTATTTGCCAAGCCGACAGGTTTTTCTGATGTATGCTTTTGTTCTTACCCAGGTCACAATCCTTGGCCTATGTTGTACCTTTCCTTCTGTGATTTTGTGGAGCACACGTAAAAAATCTCTGGATTTTGAGGCATGCCCAGGCCCTTCTTATCCTTCCCTGGCATCTGGCTGGGAACGTCTCTCATTTACAAACATTAAATCTTTTTAAAGCTCAGAATTTAAAGGGACTGTTTTGATTCCTCATCCCTATACTGTTTCATTCTTTTACTGAGTTGTAATTTAAATATATTCCTTTTTAGGTGAAGTTGTAGGTGCTGCCAGTGGGGGGGGGGGGGGTCTGCCACGTGTAAATGTGCTTACTGATTACTTTCCTTACCAAATCTTGACTGCAAGCCCGTTGCTATTAGCATTTTGTAACTGCATGAAGAAATTAAAACCCATGTGCTATTTTTTTCATTGACACATTGCCTACTCACAGGCTAAACATCTTTCTTGTACAGGATTGCACTCAATCTAGTTCCACCCGGCATATTATAGCAAAATATCAGAATCCTGAAGCCTGAATAAAATCTCATGAAGGTTTTCATCCAGAATTGATTTTGTCCTTTGAGAAGTAAATTATACAGTTCTTTCTACTGGATTTCTTGGCTTTATCCAAAAGACTAAGAAGCCTGAATCTCACAGGCTGGGTAGGATTAAGTAGACAGGTCCCCTTGACACCCCAAGGCTGCGTGATTTGCTCCCTTCAAAGATTGGCCTGCTTGTGCCAGGGCAGACACGGGCGAGCCTGGTGTGCCCACGCCCATGCATGCAGAACCGTGCTGTGGTTAGGTGTTACTGGAAGCGCAGCGCTGGTTTGGCGGCTTCTCTTAGAAGCACATCCTTCTTTACACTGGATTGCTTCATCACGGACTTCCCTCTAGCTTAGAGAGTCTGTTCCTTTCACATCAAAGGCCAAGCCATGCCTGTTTCATGCCCTGCACTACTAAGTGAGGTGCGCGTTGTTAGTTAGCAGGCAGGTTGCTCAGAGGGTGGCTGGTTGAGAGCTTTAAAGCAGGCTGTCAGCTGGCCAGCTCTGTTGGGGTGTTTCCCATAGCCACTTTCCTGTCTGAGGAGACAGTGATAACGACCTTTCATTACTTGGAGACACACAGGAGACTCCATAATTCTGTGTGCTGATTTTGACAGCTGTTTTATATAAGTGTAGTTTTTGTTCCTACTGTATTAAATTATTTTTTAGTGGGTCAACATAAAGAGGTACTTGAGTTCCTTATAACAGCTAAGCATTTTTTCTCAAGGGAATATGATAGCGGGGACGCTTGGAGGGCAGAGCAGGGTGAGGTTTTGCTGCCTTTTTTCTCCCTGGAGGAGAGCCCCCGCGTCCTCTCACTATTGACCTTCCCTGGTCCATTTAGTGCTGAGTCTATGCCTGAGCCCCAGGCCGTGGGAGAGTTCAGACCAAAGTCCTCTGAGGGCAGCAGAACTGCCAAGTTGGGGAATTAGCTCCTCTACGCACGCCTGTAAGGAGCTGATCCTGATGGGGATTAAGGAATTTGGTATAGCAAGGCACAGCGCATATTAAGTAGGGCGCATTATAAACTCCAGCCACCGTCTTTTGAAATGACGCCCTTGAGATGCCCTGTTCAAACCAGCTTTTCAGAGACAGCGAGCCCTAAAATAAGCCCTTAAGTAAAATAAAGTGAGTTTCAAAAGAAGCCCTCGGAAGGTTCTTCCTGCCTGCCCTTACCGCTCATCGCAATACCTGCAGTAATAGTGAGTAATGGAGGTGGTGAGTAGAAGTTGCCTTTTAAAATAGAGCACTCACTTCCCATTTATACTAATTCCTAGTTGCTGCCAGTCTGATGAGTTCACCAGCTTTCCTGGGCATGTTCATCCTGTGGCCTCGCACATGGGCAGGAACCCACTCAGTGGAAATGCCAGGGCATGTTGGCGCTGTCACTAGATATGCTCCCAAGAGGGAATGAGTATTTTGGAGGTCGTGACCTCTTAAAAGGGCATGCCAGGACACATAGAGCAGTAGAAGGAAAGCTGAGCAACAGAGAGAAGCCGACCTGAGAGGCTGCTGGTGTGGGCGCGTCGCTTGGGGCAAGGCCACACACAGGTGTCATCCTTGGTTGCTGTTTTCCAAAGGGACCTTTCTTCATGTCTGTTCCGTCTGGAGACTGGGCAGGGTCACGGAAAGTAGAAACGTTTTATCACTGACTTGCTGGTTTTGAACTCCAGTGTATTCTTCCTGTTGTACTTAGAGTCTGCGTGACCTTCCAGCTCATTCTTTTGTGCTCGCCCTGTTGTGTAACAGCAGGATGGGAAGTTGTGTTCTACAGTAGCGGAGCTCTTTTCTAAATTAAAAAATGCTGATATATTTGGAAATGTAAAAATCTTATTCTAGTTGACAATTATGCTGCAGTTACAAACCCTTGGAATTCTTCAAGATAAGACTCCTTATCAGATGGGAGATTGTCAGGTGGTGCCGCCCAGCCAGACAGGTGTGCTTGGGGACTGAATGACGAGGTCGGGCCGGGCCAGGTGAGCTCCCCTCCCCTCCACCCTTACATTCTCATGGTTCACAAGATATTAACACTGCAGGAGACCAGTCTCTGGGCCCAGGAGGCACCTATGTCTTCTCACAACCCTGGGTCCTGCTGAGGCTGCAGGGACTCGGCTCCAGATTGATTTCTCATAGCCACTAGGTGGCAGAAGTCTCGCAATCATGCACACATCTGTGGGGCTGGCCAGGTTGACACGTTGGGGATGCCCTAGCCAATCTGGTATCCTTGGGGCTGGGCAGTTAAGCCCCAGGACCTTTGCAGTGCTCTAGTTTGAAAGAATTCACAATAAGAAAATAGAAAAAAAGTGATGGTTTTCTAACATGCAGAAAGTATGCTTCCCTCTAGCAATAAAACCTTCACTTTGTGGGTCTCGTGACCTTGTGTGGGTCACAAGTGTTTGTTTCTGAGGGTTTTTCCCCCTCTGGGAAGAGCCAAGAGGACAGGGTGATGTTGGAACCGCAGCATTTCATTCCATTTGCAGCTCCGTCCCCTGTGTCTCTGCAGCTTGGGGGCTGCCCTGTAAAAGCCTGCCTGATTGGCCTCCCTCACCTGCCAGCGATCTGCTTCCCAGTTGTGCCATTCCCCAGAGGGAGAGCTGACTTATCACTTAAAACTGTAAGCCAAGAAGAGTGTGCATATCTCAGCCCATCAGATCTAGGGAAGACAAGTCAGATAGTCACCCTGCTGCTGTGACCATGAGCTCATGACCTCAGACTGGGGACAAACAGCCATGTCCCCCCCTCACACACACACACACACACAAAAAAAAACCCCGCTGGTAAATGCTCTCTCTGAAGGTAGCACTCTGCTGTTTCCTGTGGACGGAGGATGGCCCAGGCAATTCTCTGTGCAGAGAGACTCTTGCAAGTATACCAGGAAAAAACTGTAAAAGCACTTTCCAATCTAGAAAGCACTAAGCAGCGTGAATTCTCATGAAGTGTGCTCCAGAGACGGCCCTCAGCTTCCCTGTCCAGCGGGCACCTGTGGCATGTAGCGGGGGCGCTAGGCTCAAGATTATGAATGTAAGCTGTGACACCCAGGCTGGGGCAAAACTTGGTTCGCTCATTCTGAGACCGTTCCTTCCCCCATCTTGATGTTTGTGAAATTGGAGTGTCTCACAGCCCATTCACGTGGCCAAGTCTGCCGCCTGTCCCTCGACACCCATAACTGAGTGATGTCCTAGAACGAAGGAAACGCTTCAGGGAGTGGACAGTAGTCTGCTGGCTTCAGGACAGTCAGTTCACAGTGTGCTGCTCCCCAGCAAGGACCTCACCCTGGGCAGCTGAAGCCGGCCTAGGCGCTGCACGCACACCTGCCGAACCCCCTTCTCCCCAGCAGCAGGCCCTGGG